CCGGGGTCTGCATTGGACCGCAATGGTACAATTAAATGTAATGATAGCTCTTCTTCAGTAATGACTGGAGCATAGACCGCAATAGACCCGGGTCCGCATTGGACTGCAATGGTACAATTAAATGTCACCATAGCTCTTCTTCAGTAATGACTGAAGCATAGACCGCAAAAGACCCGGGTCCACATTGGACCACAATTATACAATTAAGTGTTAAGACAGCTTTTCTTCAGTAATGAAAGGACCACAGCTAAAGTTGAATAGAAAAACTAACTTTCACACTTTCAGAAACGACTGAATTTGAAACCCTTTGACAAGATCTTTATGTTGTATCATTACGCTTCCTAATGGAGTTCTGTTGCTACTGTATACAGACCAAAGTTACAGCATGAAGGACACAGTAGGAGTTTAATATATAACTGGACTTTAATATATAACATCTGGCCGATTACCTCTCTGTGGCATGCCCGGTATGTCCATAGCCAGAGCGCAGCTAGCGCTTGCTGCGCATGATGTATTTCACAACTATGAGACCCCATTTGAACCCTATGATTGTCTCCGCATTATTTCGCTGGTAATCCGCATTTCAAACCTTTTGTCGTGAAGTAAAGGAAATTGAATATTCATGTCTTCGTTGGTGTTTGGTATAATCTCATAACAATATTAAAGTTAATTCTTGAGCGGTTGCTTGTGTTGCCGTGTGCCCTGAATGTTCACGTGCAGTTACTGCCCTTCTCGATCGCTTTCTTCTGAATTTTTCTTGGAATAAATCGCCAACTTGTTTGAAAGATTTTGAGCTTTTATTTGAATCATTTTTATCACGGCATTTATATAAAAGTGTACATAAGAGATCTCATGATCACTCATTGTGATGAAGTTGCACATTTTGATTGTTATGAACTTCCAGTGGTGGTCAACATGTTTTTGGCCAGTCTTTGCCAAACTGGTACCAAGTCTTTGAAAACTGATGTTTCGGAGGGAAAAAATGAAATTACAAACACTGAATAGATAATGGATAGTGTATCAAAAAGAAAAGTTTATTCACGATGGAAAAAATAAAGTATAACGGTAGAGGTTCTTTATTTCTTGGTCAAAGTGATTAGGTATAGTTAGTTGCAAAAAAATGATAGGCCTACCACATTCATCGCTAGGATGTTACTGGCCCCACTTCAGTGGTGTAACTAGGGTTAAATGACTGGGGGCATTACAAAGGGGCACCACAAGAAAACAAGCAGCAGCTGCATACAGCTATATACAGCTATATAAACCCAACGACGATTTCAAGGGGGGGGGTCACCCGGGGGCACAGGGATCTGCTGTGGGGGATGCCCCTGCCCCCTTCCCCCTAGTTACGCCACTGCCCTACTTGCTCGGCTAAGCTGCAGGCAGCAATCAGGCATTTTGGGAATGATTTCTATTACTCGTCTGACTGGGTGGCGCCGATCGCGATCATCGATCACTTTAAAGTACCAGAGTTGTAATTCCTTCTATGTCCTTCCTCCATGAATGAAGTTGTCTGTACTCTCTTACCTCAACTATGCCAGAACCCATTTCGTTTTGGCCAACGTAACGCCACCCGGTCTGATTGTTGCTGTACTGCACCTGGTACGCTGTGACGCCCAGGCCTCCCACAACGCCTTGCATAATCACTCCTTCGATCTTTGTCGGTCGCTGTAGGTCCACTTGCAGCCACGGGTTGGTCCTGTCCGAATTAGACGGGCACCAACCACTTTCAGTCCACGGGGATCCGGGGTTGTTGAGCCTCGCGTTGCGCGTTAAGCAGGTGGTCGGCGTAAATGTACTTGATGCCGTAATGCTCGAGTCCGGAATACGACCGTCTTCCATACCGAGAGGGACTCCACAGAATTCTGTAAAATTTTGAAAAAAAAATATGTCCACTCTTTTCTCAGTGTCTTTCACACAGGAAACTAATTTCTCCTTGTTAACATTTGTGTTTCTCTATAACATTCATCACTTTGTGACCAGGTGTGGGCGACGACAGACCAATTCTAATGACCACAAAATTGCCTAGCCATGCTGATTACTACGGCTTGGCCGTATATTTATATCAATCTTATCTGTTTTTCGTGAAAAATTTGTCAAAGTCCGCAGATTTGGACAGGGGTATGACCACACAACGTAGACCTTAAGCAGCTATATTGTCTAAGAGTAGTCATTGGTCTCAAATAACGGTTGGTTTAAAAAGTAGCCATAAGTTTAAAAAAAATCTGCTGGCTTAAATCAGCAAGTGGAGTAAAATTATCAAGTGGTGTTAAAGTAGCCTATGGTCTAAACTTTGCTATTGATCTAAGAATCATAACGTGAATAGGGCCCCATCCAGTAAACCACCATCTCTAGCCCCTTCGTACCACAAACACCCACCATCAACGTAATCCCACTACTTCATATCAGCTCCTCCACGAGGAAGCTGACGCGTCTCGGCTCAAAGAGAAAACTTACCAACTGCTTCGACGTGCATTGCAAATACCCACGAGACAATGAGGACAGCGCACAATTTTACTGCGCACAACTCCATTGCAGTTCAGATTCAGACACTGTTTTGACTTGAAATCTTAGAGTTTTCTCCAGCTGTACCTCTCGAAGTGTAATATCAAAGTCTTAGCTGATAACAACGCTTCCAATTAACCTCCTCATCACGTTGTTTGGATATACCAAAGAACTGTTGGAATTGGTTGGAATTCGAGACGCTTATGCCAATGTGTGTCATGTATCAGGAAATGGGGTTGGACAAACAATGTGAAGTTCAGGGTTTCCGTGTCCCTGTATGCAAACCCTGTTGCCGTTGGCATACATCCCACCGGAAACATCTCTAAACCCGATCTGATCAGAGATCCTGTTTGGATCAGCCATGAGCGGGGTTGGGAAAGTACCAATCCCCAGTTGGCAACGATTGCGCCTTGGATCACTGTGAACCTGCGCCACGTTCACTATCATTATCAGATAATGGGGGGGGGGCTACACAATAAACACTTTGTAGGGGGCGATGTTCATGATAAAGATGTACATCTGTAATTTGAATCAAATTCTTGCAGCATCTTACATCAGTATATATGGCTTTATAAAATTGCTCTCCCTGTTTACCGACATTGCAAACATTTCAGTCATTGGGAAATCCTGAAAAATCTTCACAGTCCGCTTAATTTTGTTTTTGCTTATCACCAAAAAGTGTTGTCTATTGTACGCCATAGTGTACACAGATATCAACACAATGAAGGAAATGATAAAGCAAGATATAGCGAAGCTCATCTTTAACTGTAAAAAGACAGGACGCTGAATCACTTGAACCAAAATAAAGAAACGATCAAAGCACCATGATGAACCATGCATTGCTAACGAGGGAAAAGGTCCAGTATCATAAAAATTATCATAATTGATGAAATGATGTCGGGATTTCCTGAATACATGCGACATTTCCCGAAAACTGAACCCTTTGCAGAGGTAGACGTCCTGCAATGACACGATACAACTGAAAACAGTTTACCACGGGAAGTTTCAAGTCTAAGAGCAAAACCAGACGCAATTCAATCATGTGGTTAAATTTCAAACTATAAAAGAACAATGACCGCACAGTCAGTCCCACGAGTGCCCTACGCTATGCTGTTATGCAATACCACCTGAGAAAAACGTACCTAACACAAAACATTATTGCAATTATTATGAATTATTGAAAAGTTCACGAAACGTAAGTTAATCTTCTTTCATCTACTATTATTCATTTTATTCTTGTTGAAATGTCAGTGTGCTCCGCACTGTATATTTAGGTTGATATGCTATGACCTGTGACTTTTTAGAATGGAATTGAGCTGTAGCAGATGGGCTTTGTGCAAGGGCAGTGCAAACCCCTTCAGGCCGAAGACAATAAAAAATGAATACGACCACAGTGGTGGAAACAAAGAGATTGCAAAACCCTGAGAGGGTGCATGCTTTGAATTTGCAAGACAGACTCATCCATCAGAAACTGATACGCCAAAGTGATGTTTATAATTTGGACCCCATGTTGGCACCTGCTCAGCAAAACCGGTTAAATTGTCCATAGAACGAGTGGCAAGGCTCTTTCAACTTTGAGAACGAAGAGGTGTAGCAAAAAAGTGGAGATCCCCTTGGAAAAGCCATCTGAACAAAAAATGGGCTAAAAGGCAAATTATGTCTCTTCAGCGACAAGGAACCTGAACACCGTGTCATTCTTATAAATAGGCCCCTACCCATGGCATCCGGGAGGCGTTTAGAGATTTAGTAGGAGCAGAAACCACTCAAGAAACTCTGAACCTCAGGAAACTGCGCTTGACCAGGAAAAATGTGACGATGTTACGGATGAAGATAAGACCGGTGGGGAAGGGAGAAATACCGGCGAAGGTTGCAGGAAACAGCTACAAACTGAAGGAAATCCACATGTGCTCCAAACATAAAACGTAAAGGAAAGAAGTCCTTAGATGGACGCCACTAATTTTCCTCTACAGTGACCTATTAGCCATCTAAAAGCTATGAAATGTTCTTAAAACTCAAATTCAGAAAACATTTAAAGTTTTTCAGACCATCCTCATGGGATTTGTGCACAGGGCGTCCGTATATGGAATTCTTGAAAGGACTTGCAGGTGCAGATATTTTCTTTTATCACCATCCCAGTGTATAAATTCAAAGGTGAACTCCATAAATCTCTTTGATATACATAATCTTCCATGTGATCTACAGCCATTCTACAGCATTCATGGGCAAAATTCTGACGCTAATGCACAAATTGGTGATTTTGGAAAGATGACAGAGAACAATTAAGAGGTCGGAAACACTACAGTTTTACCAGTATTTGAGAAAAATAATTTTAACAATCTAAACCATAACATAAAGATAGATGAATATTATTTAATCCGAATTATTTCTCTGTCAATATAAGTAACCAGTTTTAAAAACTACCAAACCTTTGCGTTTTCAACTCCGTCAAGAAACATGATGTACAACACCAATATCGAGAAGCAGAAGTGGATAAAGGTCCGGCAAGATGGACTGCCTCTCAGGAAAGTGTTGACATTTGACTATTCAAAATGGGTTTTTATAGAATTGTTGGTTGGGACGCTTCTAAGTAGGCCTATTCTGTATAGGCAGACCAGGTGAACAAGATACAGTAGACGAAAAGTTTCGGACCAAGCTCGCATTACAAAGATACAAATTGCCAGTGATCGCGAACGATGAGACACCCATCTTATTGACAATGATCACACACTTTCTTCACAAGATTATCTTCAAGTATTTGACATCCTCAGGAAAATGACGAACACATTTTGGTATCGTTAACTGACGGGATGACAGGGCACATTATCTACCGTCTAATCCTTTACCACGCCAAGATTGGAATCCAAAGGCAGACAACTTTGCTTCAGGAGGACTTTTTATCCACATTTTCCATAAGTTACATTTGTACCATCTCTCTGTTTCTCCCTGTAGAATCCGTTCAGCTGGATAAGAATTACCTTCGCTCCGGTTGTGATACTGCCTCTATAATTTATGTCATGAAAAAACCGAAAAAATAATTGTCTATTTTGGTTTAGAAACAATTAAATTAGAGGTGATTGATCTTTTTCGTTACAGTTAGCAAACCACTGTTTTCACATGTGTAGTTTTCAATGTTTACAAACCATGAAATTGCACGTCGATCATAGGTTTTCATTTACAAGCGATAAAAGTGTACAAATATGTAGCTTCCGTTGTCTCTAAACCATGAAACTGCATGTTAAAATTATTTTTACAAAACGGCGCCCAATACAATACATATTTCTGTCGGCTTGGTGTAGTTCACAAGAATTGTTTGGACTTGGTACTGTCCACAAGGGGAAATAGAATTGTGAACTTCTGAAGTTTTTGAATTCACTGAAAGACTTGGATTTGGGGGACTTGGTCTTTGATGAACATAGCTGATGGAGGGCATTGTAGACTGAGAGGGCATTTCAATATAAAAGCCAAGTGTACTGACTGAGCTACCTGCAGGTCACTGGAAGATACGAAATGGACATAAAATGATTGTTGGAATAGTTAGGTCTTCAGCTCAGGGGATATATCTCTTGGGTGGGGGATCCCTTAGAAGGGTGCCCTGCATGCGAGGAGACGTCTCACGCAGCCTGGCTGATAATCCATACCAACATTGTAATCTTGTGGATAATGCTTCCAGCTCCTTAATATCATGCGCCCCATGGCTTTGCTTTTTCGTTTGCTAGTGTAATTCCGCTGACAATCATTTAGAAGGATGGGATAGGCGTATACTCTCGCTAAGCACTGCATAAATTTATCACGCGTACACAGTGTCCTCAGCGTCCGTTTCCCCATGTTTGATCTTGTTTTAGTTTTTGTATTTGTTCCTGTTTGAGTTTATTGGCAGATACATTTATCTTTACCTTTTTTAACGGTTTACCAGCCAATGTTATAGGGCACTTACAAAATAAAAACCCGAGCAACAATACACAAAGTGAATGCAATAAGTTTATTTCTGAACAATACATGCAAAGACAATTATAGTGATCCATGCTATAATTATACCCCTTACTATAAGCTTAACCAAGGAACATCTTCAAACACCTTAAGTGTAATTATTAAAAGTTTGAGTCAACAACGTCGACAACAAATGCAATCAGGTGTGCTGTATTATCACTAATATTAGGTAAGGTTTTTTCAACAAATATCAAAATGCAACTGAATATGGAAAAAACACAAACACATTCAACAACTTCTTTAAATGATTTAAAGCATTATAAATGGACTAAATAGAAATAAAATTTAACTTACCATGTCTCAACCTGTTTATTGGACTTAAGGCCTACATTTCGCATGTTTGCCATACGTAACATTTTCATTAATTTATCAGCTACCATTCCGCTAAGTTTTATCTAAATCATAACCTGTGGTTGGCAAACCGATAGGGTTCGTTGCAAGGATAAAAGGGGCTTCATAACCTTGATATACAGCATTAGACTCTCCTCGGCATATACTCAGCAAACGAGAACACCGTGGTTTACACACACGAAGTTTCAATTTACCTTATATAATAACAACAAAACATCCTTAGTTTCCAGATTGCATGTGAAAAACCGAACATTGTTTAATGTTTCCACATGTTTCCTATGCAAATTTGATGAACTGAGACCACCACTTCAATTAAATTCAACAGAGAAACATACTTTTACCGATGAAAAAGAATCTACATACAAGCATTACTACGAACTACGATAAATTCAAATATATCGGTTGCAGTGAAAACCCTGACACCGTTACTCATTTGAACTTCATGCAAAACTTACATCTACTTTCAAACGCAAACAATAATCGGAAATCGGTTGTCTTTTTCAGGTTCAGGCTTCAGACTTGGCCAAACCTGATCGTGAAACTGGCCATATTACTTCTGCCAGAACAGTCCTGGAGAGGAGACTACTGACACGAAATCACGTCGGCTTTCCCTTCCAGTGATTGTCGAGGTCTGACACACTCTTGTACATTCGGAGGAATCTTCAACGGGATAGCAGACGAATAAATTGCAGTGGACGTACACCTGGGAGAACATCAAAATTTTTGTCAATAAAGTTTTTCCATATGAAGATGCCCACAATTGTTGTTTTTACATCTGTGTACACCCTCACCACATTTCACGGGAGACGGAAACTTTGCTCAAAACCCGAATATGCTTCATGACAATGGCAGTCAAAACCAGTGAACAATGCATAACATATCAGTCGGCTAGCTGCTTTTGCCAAGGAATAACACAGGTGTGGATCCGGGGACTTAGGGTTTAGGGCAACACCTCTGCTAATTGACTTTTTAGGTGGCTTATGTCTAAAGACCCATATAAAGCAGAAACCACATGGGGTCTTATTTTGCTTGTACTGATTATGGACAAAACAAAGAAGTGGCTTCCCCAAGGGCGACGGATGCATGTAGTAACCAGCCCCCTTTTACTAACCAAACTTTCCCAGCACCCCCAACAAAACATCCTGGATCTGCCTGCGATATCATCCGCGCTTCTTAACTTCAACTGCTACTAGTGCCATATTTGATTACCATGCGGATATTGACACTGTCAAATGAAACAATGAGAATGAAATTTGGCTCTAACTCACGAAATACACGCACTGTAAGTAGTTAACGAAGATGGAGTGCCTTTTTTGTAATTTGCTTGTACTCTAGCCCGAAATGCAATTACAAAGCATCAATAATCCAAATGCAACCGAAAAATTATTTCGCCCTGCAGACGCGGTTTATGCAATCATGAAACAATTGTGACATCGTAAAAGAAAGGAGGCTAATTTGCAGTTGGAATGCGTTCAACTTCTGAGAATTCTGCTAATACTTTACCTGATGTTCTGTTTACTTTCGTGCCAAGTATAATTAGTGAGACTTCACTTCAGTTTAAACCACGTCACTGCCTACAGAGCTACATGGAACAATGGAACCCGAAGTTCGCGCACAACTTGAAGATCAGTGCGGTGTACGGAGTCACCGTTACGAAATAACAGGTTTTGCCGTCAAACCATGTGAATAATTATCGTTTAAGACATGTGCATTGGTCTGCTTAGTTAATCTGACCTGACATCTTTCCGACAACGTGCTAATTATTACACACTATGAAGCTCACCGTGTCATGGATGCGCCAGCCAAGGAAAGCAAATGCACCAACAGAGAAGCGGACCTTGTTAGAAACATCTGACTCGTGAAGTTGTAATGTCTCATCGGCTTCGCACCTGGAACAATTAGATACTGATTACAGTCAGTTTACGTGTCTTTTGAAGGATTAATTGCGATGAGTCTACATAATGACTGCGTGGTTAAAAAAGTTGTCATGTACATGCTAAGGAAGTGACATTCGAACGAAGTTTAAAAAGAATAGGCCGATATTTTTGAAAGAGAAAACGCAGTTATCAACCGAGAAATACCAATTGTCCGAGTTAAAAAGAATTCCTTTCCAGCTAGGAGTTGTAATGCAAAATATCATTCACACTTTACTTACCACTCATTAATCAATTCATGACGTGGCCAGCTATAGGGATTTTCGGAAGTTGTGGCCCAGCATGACTCGAAGGAGGCGTGACAGTTACGGCCACCAGAACACCTAGCTTTTCCCTGAAAGTAAAGCCTCGTGTCAAACGTCACATCGAGTGGATGTGATGAGGTCTCTTTGTAGGGTTGACTGTAACTTGCATCGAAGAGTTTCAGCGAATTATCCGTCAGAGCATCCAAGAAGTTCGCTCTGCCGTTGAACACTTGGTACTCAATGATCGGAAGACTGGGATTGTACGGCAGGGTCTTGATAGTCTTGGCAGGGATGTTGCAGGAGAAACGGATTTCCTTGTGGGGAGCCCGAGTGACTTCAGTCCCTGCAGGGCTGTAGGGCTTTTCTGGGATGTATATAATGTTACTGTACGTGTAATCCGTACCGTTTCGCTGTAAAAAGAAAAGAGAGAAATATCGCTCGGTTGGATTCTTATGCTTTAGGTCCTCAGCATTTTACCAATCGACATTGCTGTTCATCACTATTGAAGTTGTGGGACGTGCACAAACTTACTGCTTACTGTCCACACAGCTTGTTGTTTTTCTCATTTGTTTTGCAATGTTTGCTAACTGTACGTCCGGCATATGTTTATTTTTCTGAACTATATACTCCCCTACGCCTCTTTCTTTAAGTTCTAAATGGTCGGTCAAATCGAAGTTGCTTGACTTCAACTTTGCTAAAGATCCTAAGATAATGCAAGATCCTAAGATAATGCAAGATCATAAAACTGAAAAGAAAATACCATCCACTGGACACTTATTCACACATGATCAAAAACTACAAGAAACAAATTGTGAAATATCTCCCTCCATCATAATCAAATAACCAATGTTACAAAAATCCACAGGGAGTGCAACTAAATGTCAGGTTTTTTTAAAGGGTTCACAAACTTTTCTGGTCAAAATAAAAGACGGCATTAAAAGGATCTCTTGACTTCCGTCTACAACATGATTTCCGTTGTGTAGCTGGGGATCCAATACCCAAAGTAGTAATAGTAGTAGTATGCTCCAGCGGATACAAAAGGGTTGTGTGCGGTGCGGATGTTTGTATGATATTCAGATGTTTGGATGTGTGGATGTCCGACAATATTCTCATGTGTTACTGCAACAGTTTGGGTGGACACCTCTGGAACACATGGCCATTTACAGACCTGCATGCGTACAAATCATAGATAATCTAACTAATGCCAAAAGACTTTGTAAGTTCAGTCCTACCAATATGGACTGTCACTCGCAACTGAGTGGGACTTGGGGGGTGCTTAAATTACGATATGACTTCTCATGTGCAGAGTGGCAAATCCTGGTTACTGGCAGCCGCTCACACTAACTGCATTTGAGGGATGGCTGCTGCCACATGATAGCTTTAGCAAGTGGCTGCCGTCTCTTTGTTTCTGCTCCTTGCTACAGGGATTTCTCAGTCGGCTGCATGGACCATTTCTTGATGACTGAGCGCCATGTGGGCTACGTTTTCCAAGCTAATGGGCTGTGTTCTGGCAGCTTGAAGGTGCTGTCTCAAAATGTCCTTAAACGTAGCTTTAAGCGACTCCACCGATGAGGCCCTGAGCTAGTACGCTTTTGGTAGACAGGTGTCACCCATGCGATATAAGCCCCACGTGAATCGTCGATCTTCGTGATGTGGTCTAATCGTTTGATAGGGCTTTCTGAGGATAGCACGAAGATGGCGAATTTAAATTTTGGTTTATTGTTCTGAAATGCTGGTACTATAAGTGTCGGTTCAGTTTAGACTTGACAATACTTCTACCCTTCACTTAGGCCTAGAGTGTTGCAGTTGTGCCGTAGAAATAAGCCATAATTTCGTGAGCTCGCGCTTCGCACAAAACCACGCTTGAGTGTGAATTTCCACAATTTAAATTCATTAGAGGTTTGAAACCAGCAATCTGTCTTCATACTAAGGGTTCAGAAGTAATCAGTTTTCTGACCATTCAAGGGATGGATAACACGTAAAGGCTTCAGAAGTTACAGGGAGGGTCAAATTGCATGTAGGCCTACTGTAAACTTGCACACTTGCAAGTTGTTGCAATCAACGTGAAAGAAAAATGTCACCAACGGGAGTTGGAAGCAATGTGTACAGTTAGTAAAGATCTTAATTGCCCGTTAGGACTATAGACCGCTAGCGGAACTGATAGAGGGAGTATTTTCCACAGCAGAGGCTGCCGTGGTGGGAAATGCACTTCGCTGGTTCTCGAACGACTGCGAAATGCAAGCGTTGCGGTTGCGTCGCTACCAATAAAATGAACACTCCCCACCAACCTGACTCTTTTCAATCAATGAGGGGGTGCTTCAAAGCGGATATCCTTTCACACAGATGGCCTAAGGTTGCTGCTACAGCATCTGTCTAGTTTACTGTCGTGCAAAAAATATGCAGCCAATGTAAGTGAAGCATCGCACTTCTTCATCGGCTTGTCATTGTGATGGACAGTTGGATGTAAGCTGAATGAGGTAGCAGTTGAAAGAGGACCTCATCATTTTTCTGTTTATGACGAGACCAAAAGTAGAGACATTTCCAGCGAATCTGCTGACAAGGCTCTTCATAAGAATCCACAAGAGCATCGTCATGAAGACAAGGTACATGTAGTTATTATAAGCAGGTCAGTTTTTGCTGGCTTTCAATCGCTTTTAATTTATGATGGTTTTTAATATAACATAATCAATTTTTTTCCCATTGCTATTGTGATTAAAATAATTAGTATGTTGTTGTTTTTTGCATTTATGTAAAAAAGGATTTCTTTTTGTTCCGACGTTTTTTACTTCTTCTCCAAAAAGTCCACTGACTTTGTGCACGTTTCTTCCACCAGGGACATTTAGTCCTTTTGCAAGATTAGATCTTCATCAAAATTACACCAATGAAGGACCCTTGTGTTAAGATGGTAATAAACAATGACGTCGTGATAACGTTATCAAATGATTAATTATTGCTTTTTTATATTTATTTCAGCCCACTGACTTTGTACACGTTTTCAAGGCAATATTTTGGTCACCTAGCGATCTTGAATTGTCATTAAAGTTACAACAAGCAAAAAAACCTCAACCCAAAGATCATATTAAAATAGCAGTGTCATGATGACGTTATCAAGTGGATTAAATTTTGAATAGGTAGAGATTTTATCAATTTATACAGCTTTTCCGAAGGTATTTTGGGCCACTTTTTACACAGAACTAAGCCGTACGAACCAATACTCTTCTGGAGCAATGAAGTCATCATGACGTCACCAAGTGTGAAATTACAAGCCCTTTAAAATTCGATCCCTTAAATATTTAATAATGGATATGATATCAGTATTCTGCTTGCGGCAAGTAGTAAAACTTAAATCATCGTTTCATCTCGTGCCTACAACTCACATGACCTTTCCTTCAGGTCGAAAAAGACTAAAACAGGAAGTGGTTTATTGTTTAATTTGGTAAAAGATATTGACTTGATATTGAACAGTGTTAGTTTCTAAGGGTACAGTATTCTTCAAAACATCTACCGATGACGTGAAATAATTCTCGATTGCCCTCTAGCGACAGGTTAAAAATTTTGAAAAATGAGTTTTGACTGGATGTCTGGCAGATTTTGTTGGAATAGCCTCAAAATTGGTGTCTGTGATGATCTTTACCCATTCGAGACACATGTAAAAGGTTGAGGCCGATGACGTCATGAAACCGGAAGTAATTACATTGAAAATGGTTTAATTCTTCAAACATCCATAAAAGCTACCGTAAGAGGTATTAGAAGTGTCCATAGATAATTTAATTTAGTAAAAACATTTAATGGGGTTTCCTGAAGAAAACAAAATGAACAGCGCCAGAAAATCCGAGAAAAAATGATCAAAGTTGCACCCCTGTACATTTTTAATCACCCTTGCCGCCAAGGCCATTTGTGCGCATGTGTGCATAATTATGAATTTATTAGTGAAACGGTCTATAGCAGTGCTTCGACATAACAGGACAAACGAAAGATCTAGGTAGGACCAATGCTAACTTTGTTCACGTAAACACGCAAGAAAATGGATGGCATCTAATATACAAATTTGGTGTCTTCATTATTTTTCCATACTTGCGTTAACTAATCTAGAACGTTGCGTCATTGATGAGCGAATCGCCAATAAACCTAAAAGCATCGTTAATATTTTGAAAGATAAAGCAAAGCACCTCGAACAACTTGATATAAATTTGTTAATTTTTTAACAGTTCATTTTTATGAATTAGGTCTAAATTTTGCTAGATAATTACGTTTTAGATGCTGGCCTGGAGGATTGTATTTTAACTGAAGTAAACGACAAATGAATGACGGTTTTGCCATTCTTTCAATACCTACCAAAAACCCACTAAAATTGCACGTTTCTTAGTAAATAGAGAAATAGGTTTCTTCATCTTCACCACTGGACTAAATACAGTGTGAAGATTTGAATATTGCACTAATAGTTCATAACAATCTTGAAAACTGCTTATATTATTCTCTAATACACTGCATAAATATGTATTTTTCTACCTGTATAACTACATGTATATATTAAGTTTGAAATCCTCTTTGTTTTCCTTGTGATTTAAAATTTGGATTCGTTTTTAATCGGTCTGAATGACAATGAGAGAATGAGGTGAATGCGACAGAACATTTCCTACCTGGAAAGTTGTTCCACACATGCCATAAGATGTCCACATGCGGTGGTAGGTGTCGTTGTGCCTGCTTCCTCTACAGCGTGGGTCACGCAGATGCATTATCTCTGGACCATGGCCCCCGAGGTCCACCTCATCCGTGGGAATGAGCATATTCATGGAAGACACGCTGCACGTAAGTCGTGGTACTTTTTGCTCCGCTAGGAAGATTAATTTTTGCAGGAAATATCATTGAAAAACAACTTCGTGGAACGACTTATAAAAATGCATTAGGTGCAGAGGTAAGTGGTTAATCGTTTCTGGGAAACAAGCATCGTTTACAACAACAGACAGAAAGATACAATCGATTCACATCAAGACTGACGTTGTTTGGGGACAAAGCTCCACTCTGCAGGTTTGGATTTCACTGTGCACTTGCGCTGGGCTTGCCCTTCAGCACTCTGTACGACTCCTTCATCAAGGGAAATGGTGTACTCGGTTTTGAAATCAAGAAACACCTCGTGGCTGTTTGGGAAAGTAAGGGTGTCACCGTTGACAACGACAGCATCGGGGCCAGTGGCATCCACACGCCAGATCAAGGCGTTGCTAGAATCACGCAGGGTCACATAAGCCGGGCTGAACACTCCTTGTTGAATCTGCCATTATAGTGAATATTTATTTGTTTTATCATAAAAAAAACTCATAAAGTAAAGTTGACTGGGTCCAAACAAAAACTTAAATTTGGTCCTCATAGGCCAATCCTAGTCTATGTAGTTTTCATATCGCATGAGTTTTAGTGCACAAAGAAAAAAATTAAACAACTGTTGATTGCAGAATAATTTTGCTTAGTTCGTTTTTAATCACTGCCAACAGTTGTTGCAAATTCAGATTCCCGGATTACTAAGGAAAAGATTCCTGGAGTCACAAGGAACAAAAACAAACAAACAAACAAACAAACAAACAAACAAACAAAAAGAAAAAAAAAGAAACGCAATGAAACTGGCTAAGCCTATGCCAACATTTAGTAAAGAGAGAAGCTTACAAATTTGGAGTAAGTTATCTTTTACACTTGAACTCCCATTTTTAAAAACTCAACCTTTTCATTACTTTATTTTCTAGTGCTTATTCCCAAAGAATCCAATGAGAAAGTATTTTGGGATTTACAAAAATGGCCCTGCCAAACGGGAGTTTCCCGATTGAGCTTCGTCTCCACGCTCTTTTCAAAATACTGTAGAATTGACAGACGTGATATATTTGACACAAAAATAACAGGCTGGATTTTAGTATGCTTTGAATCTAAAAAGGTTTGAGAAGATACACTGGAGATTTCTTTGAAACCCAAGACACGATGCATATCGCTTTTTTCATTACGTAATTTTCTCGCAAATAATTAGCTGTTGAAAAGTTCGAGGAAACCAGTTTCATTCGATGCGATAGATGCATTAATAAAGCACATAATTTTCATTATTGTATTGTTGAATGATACATAAAAGAGCACACTAAAGTGGCACTTTAAATTTCTTACCTCTCTGTTGAATTTGATGGCCCAATTCGGTACGATTGCTTCAGCTTCTTGGGAGTTTTCAGCTGGGATGGAGTTGATTTTATCCACTCGTAATGCCTCCGGTTCTGACCATGACGAACAGCACTTTTTACGTAAACCATTTTAATTTTGCATTTGTTCTATTTCGGTTCTCATTTTTCATTTGCCAAATAATATATGGTCTTTGGTTAGTTTGAAAGTTAAAATCTCAGGGCAAACATTATTTTGTGGAGCATTTGGAATATAAGCGAGCGAAAAATTTTTGTGCAATTACCTGTTCGAACAACCGTTACGCTGCAACAGGACTGTGAGCTTACGAATCTGTAGATGATAATAAACAGGAATTTTAAATGAACAAATGTGGATACCAGTCTTGTAAAAACCACTTAGGTAAAGCTTGTATTCAGATAAGAACATCTTTGCCCTGACAGCTCAATAGCTGCCGTACGTACAGGTACACGTCAGTGATCAATCAAGTTTGCTTAACTTATTACCTGAGTTGCACATTCGGGCATTTGATAATAAAATGTGGCTCAACCTAAAATGTGTATTATTATGGATGTTTGGTTGTCGCAAAATAAACCCGTGCCCCCCTTTTCAACACTCACAGATATAACAACTGAACACTCCGATATTGTGAAGTCTGACAAAAAGTGGGATTCGCACATGAATTCAATCATCAAACACACCATTTTTGTCTTGTTAATGCTCCGAAAGTTTGGTATTACAGTCTCAAAATTTTTGATCTTGTCAGTATCTATACGTCCTTTATCCGTCCTTTGCAGGAGTACGCTACACCTGTGTGGTCAAGCAGTATAACAAAGAAAAACAGCGACGACCTGGAGATATCGAGAGAATACCACACAACAAACATCTAACAAAAGAAACAGTGCGCTAACAATGAGCGTCCATTGTTATTGCATCGTACCTCTTATTTTAGATGTTCATAGTGACAAGCGGGCTTGTGGAATCAATCAACAGTGTTCTGTAGCATTAAATATATGCAAACTGGACCAGCTGGAACACAGGAGGGAACACCCTTGCTATAGGTGTTTGCATAAACACTCCCTCAATTAACCATTTGAGAAATCACATTCCCGCTAAACCTAGGCGCAGTTACCATTTAAGGCATACTGGGCAGGTAGGTGAGATCAGGTTTAGAATGAACGATTCAAGAGAAGCCCTTTGCCTCACTTTATCCACATCTTGAATGTTTTTTAATTGATTGTCCTGAAATCACTCAAGTTTGCACTCAATTCTCCGTCTGTGTTATTGCTTGCTTTTCAATGGTATTTGGTATTGATTTTTTGGGGAGGGGGTGTTTTGTCAGTCCTACCTGGCTTTTTATGATAGTATATTTATGTAGTACTATTAACTGTTCACATCAATATTATTAATTATAATTTTATTAATATTATTAATGTTAATAATTATATCAATGTTACTGATTGTAATTTTATGGAAATTTGTAATTGTAAATAATACGCATTGAGAGTCATGGTCTGTTGAAATAAATCATTTAATGAAAAGTGATATGAGGCTTAATCACTAGAAAAACTAGGAAGACTTTTTGCTCAATGCTACATGAAAATGCCTCTGCTCTTTTGTTGACCTTGTCAGGTCTGCGTCTGCCTAGAGAGTGGTATCTGCTCGAGCTGCTGAGGACAGTAATATAATCATAGAGTGGTTAGGCCTTGACCTGTTGTACAATTTTAGAGGGAAGAGTCCTATTTTCGGGGGTACAAGGGATGTTCTGATTGTTATAAGGCCAGCACAACCTTATTTAGGAACAAAAATGGTCAGCTAATGGGCAGAAATAAATATTAATGTGGGCAGGGGACTCATGTCTGATGCACGTACATCGGCCCAGAGCGTACCTATATGCCACCACGGACCTATCCCATTCTTTGATATTGCCGGGTAAGGAGTTCAAAGGTGGAACACCTATAGTCTGCCTGCAACCACTGCACAGATTACGAACTTAAACTGATACGATTTACCTTTCCTCTTCTACAGCCACGGCACAGATGATGTAAGTCTTCTCTTGCGTTGGGGTAAATCTAAACACGATCTCATAATCAGAGGTAGTTCCGGGGACACGTGTTGGTGTGTCGGTTGAGTAGTCGTCTACCTTAATGCTGGTAATTCTGTTAACAGAGTAAATTTATCAGATTCAAATATTTAAATTTCAGTAAGTAAAACGGACATCTATAGCAGTTCAAGGCAATGCCAGACTATTAATTTATTTATTTATGCACTCTGTTTAACTTGTATGTCAATTGAGGTCTGAAGCTTTTCACAGTGAAGGTGGAAATTTAAGTATAAAGGTTTGCGGCAGCATGCAAAGATGCGTGGTTCTGATTCTCCGGTTCTTTGCAGACCACACATCTTGCATGGTGCTCTCTATACTGCAAACCTTTTTAATTAAAACGTACTTCAAGCTTCACTTGTACACACTTCGCTGGATTCATTTTAAGGGCACTCCTGATAAGCAGCTAATCAATAAAATATTTGAACAGCATGATCTAGTTTTGGTATTCCAAAAAGTGAGGCCATTCAGGTACAAAGTGTTGCGCACTCACAAACCATAATGGTGAAATTCAAGCGCCCATGTTTTATTCGTTTTCATTGCCTTTCATTCTCATGGTGTATTACATGTATTTATCTCGACTATGCATATGGAAATGTGTGGAGACGTTATTTTTGTTATTCATGCTGTAGGCTACTCTACCATATGATTTTGTGTTTCCTCACTTCTTTGTCTTTCTTCTGCTCAGTTACTCAGTTCATGGAGCTATTAAACACGAGGAGTTAGAACAAAGTCCCTACATACTGTAATCCGATTAACTGCTCTGGTCGGCTCCATAGACAAAGCGCGAATACCTGCTCCAGTATTGAAGACCCTAGACATTCGGTGGAATCAATGCACGCAGAAGATGCGTACCGTAGGTCCTCTTCAGTAGTCCTCAGGAGTCAGCGAGTGATCCCCTTAGATGTGCGCCAAAATTCTGAATCGGCCGTAGTTATTTGGCAAAAAGTCGAACGTCTTTCAAGTCAGTTATGCCATTTTGCGAGTCCGGCGGTAGAGAACAAATACCCCAAATATGAACTGCGATATTTATTTAACCTAGTGGTTCCTACGGTTAAAAGAAGGTGGAAACATGCCGCAGGGATGCAATACGGCCGTTTCACAATAGTGCACCACCAAGAGTTTGCAACGCGTTGGCCAAACACAATGCGCGTTTGGAAAGGGTCGACAAATTTCGCGCGTTATGATTGTCTAACGCGTTGCAAACTCTTGGTGGCGCACTTTTGTAAATCGCCCGTATTAGCAACGTGGTGAGGTTTCATGCCGAGACAGTTGTGGAAAATGACAGAAAGGACAACGAATCTTCCAATGTTTTGTGTGTTTTTAATTTTCCTATGGACAGCTACACTCTTTCCGTTTTATTGTGCGTATTTTTGAAGAATTTGTAATATTTTCAAGATGCGTTTTTAAATTTTGCGTTGGGGAGATGTTAATTTTATGTACGGGTTTTGCCCTTACCCAACGTATATATTGATAAACACTGTATGCTCAATGCTAGTCAGAGAGCTTGCGAAAAAAAATAAAATAAATTCACAAGCTTACTCGGGTGGGACTCGAACCGACGGTGGTCGAGTGGTTAAGACGTCTGCACTAGTGAGCAGGAGAGTAAGCATACCGGAGGTCGTGGGTTCGAGTCCTACCCGAGTAAGCTTGTGAATTTTTTTTCGCAAGCTCTCAGACGAGCATTGAGCATACAGTATTTATCAATATATACGTTGGTAACGGCAATACCCGTTAAATAGAATTTGTATTAGTTACTACTTCTGTTTATTGTTAAGGGAGACGTTTTGGGGATGTAAGACGTAGCCAGACTTTCATTGCCATTGGAGTATCAGAAAAATTACTAAGATTATCGGTGGTCTCCGTCTCGAGGCGGCCATGTTGAACATGCAAAAGTGTTACGGACACGTATGCGTGGTACCAATCACGATCCTTAGCAAATGCACTTCCGAGCATTCCTTATAGCCCTCAAATGACGAAGAATTTGTTTTGTCCTTGCAGCACGTGCAGTGCTCGCGGTGGCCATCATTGACCCTTTTGATCTCTACATGTACTTGCTCCTCGTGTATAATAGCTCCATGGTCCATGGTTTGCACCCAAAACTATACTTTTGTACACGTAACATCGTATTCTCTACTTTTTACACACGACGTTATTGCACATATGTGACCCTTTGAGATTAAAGATGTCACATGTGCTGCACCGTTATGTTGGGCTTTACAATTACACCTCCTTCAAAACCACTTATGAACTGATATGAAGCAATGGGAGAGTACTGACAGCAATAAACCAGCTATACAGTTGGACTGTCACCCAAGCCCTCGTATACCACCCACTTGTATAAACTGTTGACCGTGAATATACAATCTTTAATGAACGGTAGTACAAGTCTATGCTGCCACAAACCTGACATTTAGGGAACGCAAAAAAAAGACACGTGTGAGTCTCATAGGGCTGCGCTGATTGGACAGACCTCACAGGCACGCCCGAATGACGTCGGACACAGTACGTTTTTCGCACGGACTCTCGAAGGAGTTCCAAACTGGCTCGTTACAACGAACTGTGCACGACATATTGCCATGAGCAATATACCCTCATTTCCGGCACAAGCACAACGCACCGAAGTTTATTTTACAGAGGCAATCTGCCAACCCTTTTTGGTAACACCCCGCTCATTCCCGTCACTTCAACACAGCCAAACGTTCGTTGCAAAAGAACTTTCTTAAGGACAGCAGAACAACCTACATTCCAATAGTTGCTGATGGTGCCAAGGATTCCTTCACCCACGAGCTTTATATTTTCCAGATTTCATTTGGGAATGACAAAATCCCTGAGTTTTGAGAGAGGGGTCAGAGGAATTGATACCGAGAGTTGACCTGTTATTTTGGTTGTCCGGTGAGCCATATGGATGCTAGAAATTCAATACATCTAAAATATGGAAGATAGAGCCACTACTTTAGCATATATCTAAAAATTTGTAAGCCTCAAATACGAGCCGAAACCTTTTGAGACAAGTAAACTGTAGCTGTAATGAAAACTTGGAAAGGACCCCGCGTTCCCGAAGCACCTGGCCAAACTCTACCGTCTATCCTGCACATGAAGACAGCCTTTCGGCTGGATATAGCTTGGTATGCAGAGACCAACGTATTCCGAGTAAAGCTGGGCTTGCATTGGATGTCCTGTATGGTACTTAACTCTTGACTTGCACAGTGTTCATTGAAGACGGGTTCGAGGGATTTCATTTCTTTGTATCGTCGGCATACTAACATTGGCACAGCCACGGGGGGCCGGGAGGGGGCACGTGCCCGCACAATTAATGATGCCCCCACTTAAAAAACAAGGACAAATGGATACTGAACATGGATAACAAAAACTTGCCCCCCCCCAAAAAAAAAACACCACCGAAAGCTGGTGCCCCTATAAGATGCAGTGCTGGCGCCCCCTTTGTGCGCCCCACTAATAAAATCCTAGCTACTCCACTTGGCATAGGGCATTGTAAATCAAAAGCCAGGCGGGACTCATGATTGCAAACTGGAGAACGCTGTCCAAAACAAGATAAAAAATGTTGACCCGCATGCAGGGGCATTCATATAGCTCAGCCAGGCAGACACGGTGTGGCCCAAAGCCATAATTGGCTTTACCATTTGCGTGTACTATTTTAAAATACGGGAGGGTGTTTTAGTAATCGAAACGCTCGTCTATAGAGTCTGAAAGTAAAACGTCACACAGCAAGCTTCCGGAAATCTCTTATAATAATATAAATATTATAATATTATAATATAATATTATAAATCTCTAATAACTTTCGCGGTCGTAAAGAAGTTCCTCATACAGTGAAACATGTCTGTTTCCATTAGAATAAAGTCATATTCATTGATTTACAACTTTTGATTATCTTCAGTCGAAGCATCTATATCTGTATATAAGGAGCATGTCATCAGCTAGGCCTACATGTATTACTTCGAGTAATGCTAGAAAGTAATGCTGTCACCTGTAATTTGAAGATGTAGCTGTTGCAACCATTCTCCTCCTGAACTCTTGTCCAAGTACCAGGTAAAAACACAACCTTGGAACGTTCAGGTCCGGCTTTCTGCACTCTCCATCGTAACGGAATACATCAATTAGCAAATGCAAAGGTGTCTTACTCATCGGTTCCTTGGACTCAACGCTGGCGTAGTCCTCTAACATAACCATCAAAGCGTAGGAACCAGAGGGGATTGGGTCTCCTTCTCCAAACACCAGTTCACATGCTCCCTATAAACAAATGCATTTCAAAATAAATTAAAGCTCAATTGGCAAGAGGGCTTAACACACCAATGTGAGAAGACCTGTGGTCCGTGAGAACGTAATAGCAAGGCCACTAAATTTGGGCGGAAAACGGGGGGGGGGGGCACATGTCTCCATAACTTTTCGGGGTCAGGAATGGGCTATTTAATCAACCCCCCCCCACACACACACTTTTGTGTGGTGGGCACAAAATTGAAGCGTATTGTGAAGACTTTTTCAGACTTCCATCGACTAAAATGCGTTCAGTATCACTCAAAAAAGGAAAACAATTAAAAAGCCATGAATATGCCTTATGAATACACATTACAGATGTACATTTACGCCACTGCAACCAAGTGTCATGCCACCAACCGTCGATCTACCAGCGGACAAATAATTTTCCATCAGGATGGCCAGTCCTAGTATAGATACTGTACTATCACCTTGCTGTGCCTAACTGAACTGAAATTTCACAAAGTAAGGAAGGAACAAACTAACAGCACATCAGTTGTTCTGAAAGTAAGACTTTTGGCCGTCGCATGTAACAGGTTTTCTGTGGAGGGTTTTTAGGATATCCGATTGCAGTTCTTTACTCCAGGGTGTTGTTTGACCACGTGCATTTAGTTTCCATAGTACTATATGGTAAAACAAAAATTTAGCCAAACGGTCGGAAAAGCGTAGATGCATTGACCTAAATTGCAGAGGTCAGTGCTTGTAATTTCCTAATTATTAAAATTAAATCATTAAAATCGATTATGGTGAACCGGGGACATTGCAAATCGTCAATATTTGCGGTCAACTTTACGACTTGTATCTCCAGTTGCAAATATTTCCACGATTTTTTTTCCAGCAAGCTACGCTGAAATGAAGTGTTCACGCGCACGTGCAATATATGATCCACATTTTTTTGGCTTTATCTCAAGTCGTTATTTGGCTGGGCAGCTTTGGCACAACGCACGGGGCACAACGTGAAAAAGCAATTGTGTCTATAGCCGAGCAACCTCTCTCCCACCTGGCTCGCTGGAAAAGTATTTGCCACTCCCACTAAGCAATTTAAATGTCATTAGAACGGAAGATGGGCCCCAAACCTAAATAATAAGACTGGTTGATGTAGGGGAGTCGAGTGACGCAAGCGCGGACAATTCAGGCCCAACTGTTACGAAGGGGTGTGATGAAGACACTCATTAAAATAATGATTTGACAAATCTTCTAAATGGCGAATGCCCCCATACGTAAATCGCCTTTTTTCTAATTTGCGGCTGAAAGATTGTTTCAAAAAGGGAAGTTAAGCACGATTGACGCCACCACACCCAGTTGGTCTGCGCGATCGGTCGATCCAGCATGAAATCATAACACAGGCCCTATACGAGAAAGGAAACAAACGCTAACAGCGATATACCCTGCCACTAAGCCCAATTCTTGCAGCAATCATATAATTACTCTCTTACCTGATCCCAAGTTGCAAGTGGTTTAGATTTAGCTGCATCGAAGTATGGTTGTCCACAAAGATCACCAGCATTTTCGTTACATTCTTCCCTCATTTCCGAAGCCCACCTGCACTTCACAATGTCGTCGTTGGCATCAACGTCTTTATTGGGGGGGGGGGAGTAGGAAATCGATGATGGGTTATACACCAATGTCCAGAATGACACGACAATATAATTATAAAGATGAACGAAGAAATTGACTGGAGCGGGATTTGAACATGCGACCTCTGGAACACCGTATCCGTGCTCTACCAACTGAGCTATCCCGCCCTATGTTGTTTGCTCTTCCAATTTGTCAATATCCCTGTCTATAATTATAGACCTGAAAGTCATAATTGGTTTCTGGTGTGGAGATATTTTAACTCGAATAACGGACTGACAGTGCCCACGCAGATCCAATTTTTTGTGTGCGTGAGTGTGTGAGGGGGTAATCCTCACCACTTGATCCGCGATTGCCTTGTATTGACAGCAAAAAAGAGGAGCTAGGATGAATGATTTCGCCCTAAGATCCCAGCTATACCGAAGAAAGCAAAGTCTTTCTAAAAACAGCATACAGACATAAACATGACCATCACAATTGCAGTTGTAAAGTGCAAAGTGAAGAAAGGTCTTTAATGCTGAACCCATTTACATTTTATATTTTCATGCATTATTTCACTAACCTGTGTTACATTTGAGACACTGATTTTCGAAAAAAACCCAGATTTTTATTTTGGTCGCAGGACATCCACAAAACAGTTCACTGAAGACATAAAGCTAATTTCCATTATTCGTAGATAATTTCCCCTTGTGAATTATTGAAAACAAAAACCTGCAACACGTAACAAAGTTGATGGCGATTGTTCCTATCAAGAGGATATCACTACAAGGTTCCCCGTAAAACGTAAAATCTTCATTGCAGTATGGTTGCCCGTTGTTCAAGAAGGAAAGGTAGTCCTTTGCTCCGTACCTTAAGGGTCAATCCGATTGAATCCACATTCCCCCCAACTTCTGTAAACTGTACACTTGAACTTCAAGGGACAGAGGGGCTAAAAGTGCATACTTGCAATATGAATTCGGTATGTGCAGCCTGACATTATGGAAAACACGGTGAAGGCTTTGCTTTGAGGTGGGGAATTGATAGAAACGCCATCCTTGTGCTTGGTGTTGATTTTTGAAACAAGATTCCAGCCTTTCCCACTTCTGATGATTTGGGCGTTATTTAAGATGGATGGAATCCAGCAACATTCCTCGTAACTGTGGCAGGTGGAAAAGAAACCGAAATATTGTGCATTAAAAGGCAGCGTCAATGCGCATCTTCAGTTCTGGATAATAAAAATCTTTGCAACAAATTTCAAGTTCATGACTGATCTGAAGTACAAGAGGAATGCTAACAGGACTGAAGGTAATTTGCTTATGTTTTTGCCGAAGTCTTGTTACGTTTCCCCCCTCATTTTGCAAATGGTTCAGTGTCTAAAAAATCTTGCTCCATCTTTCCGGAAATCTTACCTAAGTGGTTCAAAGTTGAAAATGTTCAGTTTAAGGGCAGGTATTGGCGAGACTCACTTTATTTCCGCAGTGGCTTCTTCTTCCGGCATCATGTGCGTCAAGGTATAAACACCCGTGGCAATACCATCTTTTAAGTGTGTGCAGTAATAATCGGCACCGGTAAAATCGGATTCAATTTGGAATGAACCACCCGTCCGAAGTTTCTGCCAGAAGTAAATTCAAAACGGACTGAATTATACGCATTGCTGATATGCAGATTCCGAATCTTGCCAATTTAGGAGCCGAGGGTTAAAGACACTAGCTGGTAAAGGGCGTGATGAAGTGAATTCTATTATTGCTAACAATTTGCATTCGAAGTCGTTTGCCTTTTGACGACATATATAAGCTGCGATTCTCTCAACTTGAGGAAGTTTTTGTTCTCTGAATAAAACTCTGCTTGTCTTGGCACATGGTGGAACAATTTCATGTAATGAAGTACAAAGATCAAAGACCTTTTTAAACAAGTAAAATTTCCACTCAGTGATTCTCCCTGTTTTAGAATGGTTCTCACTCTTTGTCACATTTTCTTTCTTGGAGGGTATCCTCTGAGACTTATTCCTTAGGCCTATAGTCATCATTTTTCACATTCTATTACACTTGTAAATTGAAACATGCATAATTCCTCAAAAGTAAAAAAATTATGGTTCATTTGGATAACAGTTATTTAATTTGTTTATCTACTAGTTCTTGAAACAGAAAAATGAGGATATTTCTTGTAACAAACCTTGTGTGTGTCAATAGCCTCCTGTGTACACTGGTTATGGGTGTAGGATTTCTTACTTGCATCGAACTTGAACTCAAAATTAACCGTAATCTAAGAGGAAAGCATACCAGGCGATGTGAAAATAATCATGTATAGCTTCTCCAGCAAATTTTCTCCTTGGGTACCGCCAACAAGTAAAACTGGGGCGAAAGACAAAATAATTATTGTCGACAACTGTGACATGAGATATTACGTTTTGAGCTCCTGTGGGACGCATAGCGCCCCAAGGTGAAGCCGAGTGTGCTATGCGTGGCCAAGGGTGTTTGAAATGATATCCCACATCACAGCAGTCAAAAACTGTTTTCTCATACCTCTGAGTTGAGGCTGAGGAGAAACGAGCTCTGAATTTCAGAAGTTCAGAAGACGATAAGCCTACTGTCAAATTCTATAATTAATATAACAGACGTAACGATATCGTCTTTGAATGCACAGTTCTCTCACTTTCTTTTATTGCACAAACATTCAACGTATTGATTACAAGTTCACATGTTATGTAGTCTGGTTAACGGTCCCTGTATAACCTTATACGCTGCAGGAACCTGAACAAGGGTGTTACTTGAGCGCAACCACTAATCAAACCCTCTGGTAACCTCTGTGAAAACAGTCGAACTTTCAGAAGCTCTTCTTTCTCGTGCAGGTGCGCGTGCACTGTCAGCAGAATGAGATGTGTAACGGTGAGTGTGATCTTGTGACGGTTCTGGGTCAATGAACAGACAGTATCTAATTAAGACAGAGGTATGACAAATCAAATTGTCATTTCTCTGTCTTGGATACTGCCCGTTTATTGGTCCATAACGATCACAGGACAGGACAACATATCCGTATATTACACTCACCGTGAGATATCTCATTCTACCCATGTTGCGTGTGCGCAAAGCGTAAACGCGTACGGGTCCGAAAAGCTTCAGGGAGTTCGACAACGAACACGCAAGTACTTCTGTCAGTTTTGCGTGGTACCCATTATACGTTTTGGGTATAGGCTACAAGGGAATTAGATCAATGATTGCGTTTGTATAACAGACTCGTTCCCGTCCCCGCAGCGTATAAAGTAATGCAGGGATCGTTAACCAGGCTAGATAAATGCACGCACTGGTACCCGCACTAGTTTTACATCAGAGTTTACGCAATTAACGAAAGTGAGGGGACAGTGCATTTGCAAACGATATCGTTTACTTGTGTGTGCCTTCCTCTATGGTTAATTGTGCCATTGTACAGTTTTACAGTAGGCCCATCTGAAATTCAGGGCGTTTTTCTTTGGATAAATTCCTTAAGACAGAGGTATGCCAAACAATTGTTAACCGCTGTGGTGTGGGATATGACGTTTTGATCACCCTCAGGCACGCATAAAATGAAACAGCGCCCATGGCTTCGCCGCGGGGTGCTATGCGTCCCTCGGGTGATCGCTATGCGCTATGCGTGCCCGAGGGTGTTCAAAACGTCATATCCCACACCACAGCGGTCAAAAACTGTTAATTATTTACTAGTCTATTGCACATATATCGTTGACGTCCCTAAAAATTGCCCCGAATCCTGGCCAAACAGTATTAGAAGGGTCCGTGTACGTTTTTTCATCGTTTTAACAAAAATTGAAACACAAGTCTTTTTTGTCTTGAATTCGAAAAAAGAAAATCTTGAAATTGGAAAAAGAGTCATTTCTTGTTTTTCCATCGAAAAATAATGAAAAAGGGAAGGAAATATTTTTCTGTTTTGATGTTGAATGAAGAACGAACGTGTTTTTCTATTTTACATCTCAATACAAATTTTGCCCCATAGACAACGCTGGCTCTCTACTGTATCTAAAATAGTGAACTGGAAGTAACCGCTTCCTTAAAAAGTATGAAATTAAGTATTGGAGTTGCAGCAGCAGTGGTATTCGGTTTAATGCAGGAGCAAATTAGCAATTACAGAAGTTATTACCTTTTACAATTACAATTACAGAAGTTAACTGATTCAGTTTCAAGTTTCAATTTTGGATGGCACGGATATGACATATGTATCGCCCAGGAAGATATGCGCTGTTTCAGAAATTAATTTAGGCCGATGTTAATCAATTAACCTGAACACATCTTTCAATTCGAAAGATGTGTTCAGGATTCTGGTATGTCTCCTTCATTGATGTATGAGCTTGTCCGTGAGGGGTGGTCTGCGTTGGTTGGGCATACGTTTAGACTTTTCCTTACAAGTAGGTTTTGTTGGATTTCCGTATCTGGCGACCACCAGAAGCATTTCGTGAAGGGTGCCTAGAATGTTACGTTTTATGAAAACCTTTTATGTTTAACAAAAGACGAAGTTGTCATGTGCGCGTGCGTTGCAGATTGAGGTTTAATGTAAAGCTGTATTTTAGAGTGTAAAAATGTACCAATAAATATGGTTTCAAAGTCAAGTTCTGCTTAGTACACCAGTATCTATATTTCCAAGGGTAATGATCTATAGCCGTAGTAGTTTTCTGTCTTAAAATCAAGTGTTACATCCAAGATGGAAAAATCTGGTTAAGAAAACAAGCAAAAAAGTAAAGTGATAACTATATCAAATTTATTAATCGCTTAAAACTTTATTTACAGCTTATAAAATATGAGCAGAGAAAAAAACAAAAAACAAAAACAAAGGATTCCTTAACCACACAACTATATTGTGGCCTCAAATGTTTTCATTTGTTAGAGCAATTTCAGGTGAAAATAAAAATAGCTTTTGGGTTATTTAAAACTACTTTTTCATTACATTTTCTGACGCGATTCACAATATTTACTTTTATTGTAAAACAAAATGATTAATGTAATTTTGATTTTTTCGTGAAAAATGTCATTATTTACGCTCGATTTCCTGGAAATCCATCAACCATCGACGCCTCATTTGCGATGGGAGCGCGAAATCAAACAGAGCCTGTTGCAATACTGTTGTTAAGCACAAATCTTGCGGGGACGCACTTTGGAAATTAGCCCTATGAACACTGTTTCGCACTTCGAAGAAGTAATCAGGGATGACAAATTGTTAACCCCATCGTCAAATTGCATGATATGTCATGTCATGTCAACGCTTGTTCATGTATACAATCCATGTGTAAAAACAACATGTTACTTGCTTCACCCAGCAGCTGTCACCAGTGAACGTTATGAGCCTCGTGCTGGACGAAAAAGAGGGCACCTTTTTTCTAGAAAAGGAGGCTCCTTTTGTCGGGAAATGCACTTCGCTGGTTCTTAAACGAATATGAAATGCATGCATAACAGCCGCGTTGCTACCAGCAAAATGAGCACTCCTCTCCAACATTTTTCTCGGCTTATGAGGAGGTGCTTCTGTTCAAGGTAAATAATGAACTCGGCATGGAGTCGACTTAAGGACAAACGAAAATCTGTCCGAAATTATTCCTCACCTCGAGGGGATTATCAGGGTTTCGGGCTTCCCAGAAGATTGTTCCACCTTCGTAATAGCCAATTTCCGCGGCAAGATTCAAAAGCCCACCGGCCAGCAGCAATAGTAACAAACTGTGAGTGAACATCCTGCGAACAACAAAAAAAAAAATGAAAGATTCCTCATATTGAAATCATTTTCAAATCTGGTTTTGGTGTCCTTTAATATTTATGCTGGCCGTAATCAATCAGTCTTCTTGCCAACCTGTCGAACTCACTACAGAATTTGTTAGCAACCTTTACCATATGCCAATTTTCCATTCTTTTTAACTGCAGTTGTTGAAGATGTTTTTGAAAAAGGGATGTAAAATCAGATACTATGTTGAGGGAACAACAAACTTTGTTGAGGGCACATATGTTGATAATTTGTTTTCATTTTGTCGCTTCTTTGGGCATTTTCTTTTTCCAAAATTGTCGCCAGTGGCAGGGCTAGCTGCCCTCATCTCACCCCAGTTGGATACATCAGTGTAATAAATCCTTTATGAAAAGCCACAAGTCGAAAAGCAAAGATCTATACGTTTCAAATTTTGCGAATTTTGGATTTTATTTCTAACGGCAAAAGAGAAAAATAAATTATTTAAATATGTGCATTTTATACGTGAATGTCCTCACCACTGCGAGCATAGTATTTGTTGTGTTATCAGTGATGATGCCAGTGTATTTATTTACAATACGGAAACCTACCTTTTTCTACAAGTACACTCGGGGCAGAATCTGGTACACCTGTTACTTACAACGAGTATTTGTAGTTGGCAGTTAACGTATTCTGCCGTTCGACACTGAGCTTGTAGCTTCATCAGTAGTCATAGATATTTTCGACATTTTTGTGTTAGTCTAGCACTGTCTAAAAAATTATATCGTAAGAAGCATGGGAGGTGTGGGCCAGCCTTGATAGCCCTTTATCAGACTTGGCGAAGCTAACCACAGCATCTTGGGCTTGGCCAACGTATTCGTGGCATTCTAATTCATGATAAACCTGAGTAAATGCTGTCGTTTACACGTCACATCATTAGTTGTCCAACACCCAATAAACATACTTTGGGAAGAAATTTAGATCTGCTTCGAGTCTGGCTATCATTGTATGTAGCCTTCCCAGTTCGGTTACAAATGTATGGAGGACTGAACATGAAGACATTTGCAAACCCCCTTCGCCCTTGAAGCACCTTCAAAAAGAAACCTGCGGTGCACGGAAGACTCACCTGAAAAAGTGCGGATTCGTTCACACTGTCCTAACACAAAGCTCTGTGCCGTTGGTACCTTCAAGCAGCTCTTCTCCAAAGGCCCACTCGATAAGCATTGATACAGCACCCTTTTTATACTCTCTTCAAACAACTTCCCATCGCATCAGCCCGATGTTAATATCATCTCTTGCGAAAACCTAATTAGGTCTTACTGGATAGTTTTCAATCAGAATATTGCTGCTATCGAGTTTCGATAGATTAATTTTTAATTTGTCACCCGTCATCTGGTATTGTTTACCACAATACATGATTTGTAAGTTACAAACCTGTTCTGCCATTAACATTCAATTACTTAAACGTAGTCATGCGTATTATTTCGAAACAAAAAACAATATTACGTTTCATGCAATTAGTACGAGAGCTCCTTTGCGCAAATCTGGGAAAAGTCGTATTATACTGATACCTTGGGCACAAAACTTACTGACCATCTGTGTCGCTAAATCACCAACTTAGATTGACAAAAAAGTGGCTGTCTGACACTTCAAATTTTTAAAAGTTTCTCAGTTTCATCGTTTTTTGGTCTATTTTTTAAAGAGGGTTCCTCTTGGCTTATTGAAATTGACTTTAAAACTGTGTCATAGCTATTTTTTTTATTTAATTTACTTTTCAACGATCATCTTGTTATTGATGGGTTTAATTTGTGTTCAAGTGGATTTGTATATGGCTTGATTCTTTTTTCTGTTCTTATGAAATAAGGATTGTATGTTTTAATGTGAATGTCATATTTTTATGTGGACAATAAATTGAATTAAATTGGTTAGTTCGAAATTGCTCTGCGTTTAGGATGTCAATTTGACACCGCTAAGTTTATAAAACAAGTTCCCTCAGCATTATAGTCTTGTTATTAAAAGTAACTCATTAATTGTGCAGAGCATCAACTTTTCCACAAGTCCTACAGTCAACTGCGGTTAAATCCAAGATCTTCAGATACAATTTAGTGAAAACTGTCAATCCCGGAATTAAGCAGGAGGGCGTGCTGGATGAGGCAGGTTTGGAATCAGCGACATTGACTCAAAAATTAGAGTTTTGCTCTGCACAGTAAAGAATCTGAAATGTGAAGGAACCTGGTACTTCAAATTAAACAGAACGGCGTGGATTTGGCATTGAGTGATCAATCAGTGGTTTTTCTTCCGTGATAAAAAAGAGTCAATTACCGCAAACCAGACGCACAATGATATGCTATCTGCTGTTTTTCCATGTCGCATGTCTAAGGGTTACAGGGATCCTTTTCAAGCTATCTTTACTATCTGTTTATTGGTCTACGTTGACCGTGGTTGACTTGAAAAAGGACAACACTTTAGTCTGTGCAAATGCATATTGGTGTGAAAATGACAGCAGGATTACTAAAAACGTAGCTCATGAAAATATTTGAGAACATATCGGAAAAAAGGTAACTGTACCAAAGGCGGAGTTAGTCTCACTGTACTTGAATTGTACCACGCAAGATGTGGGACGGAGGGGTACCCCCCTTACCTGTAAAATCCCTATAGACACTCTACACTATTGTTACCCAACACATCGGGGTGGGGGGGGTTCTCTCGTCCCATATCTTGCTTCAAATGACTTGAAAGATTCATGTTTTTTCCTTCTCTTGCCCGTGTTTAGCTTGCAATGCTCTATGGTAGCTTTCAGCTGAAGCATTTTTATAGTTTCAAAAGGTACCTCACAATTCCCCGACAATTTGAAGACATTTTAATTGTCGCCCAAGCATACATGCAGTATCGTTTTGAAAAGGCTTTGTGCAGGGTGTCTCAAAAAGGTAATCCTACTTAAAGGGTTATTGTGGCCAGACTATTTGTTTACCAGCAAAAAGCATGTACCATCTTAAAGTTGAAGCTTCACGCCTTTCAATGAAACCTTGGGTAGCATTCCAAGGTCACGCCTCATGGAGCACCATTGTCTTGAAACTGTGGTGCAAAAATGCAGTTGCTTCACTTTTGAACCGATGTCATTCTGGCCAACAGACAGTGTGCAAGCCTCCGGTTGTCGCAATGGCTTAGCAAACGGCAGAACAGAGAATCTTTGTGGTCAAGAAATGGCATGCAACCAGAAGTTTGCAGGCTACACAGGACGCCTTGCGAGAAGCATTCCGAGACCGAGAACCACCACCAAAGAAAACAATCTGGGCCAATGTGAGAAAGTATGAAGCACATGGAACCAGCCTCAACCGCAACAAAGAACGTTCAGGAAGGCCAAGAACGGCGAGATCTCAGGAAAACATCGCTGCCGTACGACAGCATCTGATTGACCACCCAAAGGAGACAAGTGCAAGACGGAATGGTGTTAGACCGAGCCACGCCACTTTTAATCGGATCACTCGTCATGACCTTCATTTCCATCCGTTCCGCGTCCACATCTATCATTATCTGCTTGCTGATCTTGCAGTTGCAAGAAGACAGACTTCTTGTGAGTGGCTCCTTGAGCGGTGTGAGAGAAATACCAAATTTCTTCGCAACTTCTTGATCGGGGATGAGGCTGCGTTTGCAATGAAGAGTGAGGTCAACACCCACAATGTTGTTCAGTACGCCCCAGCTGGGCAACCACCAGTGTTCAACTTCGAGACAAAGATGAGCAGAGCGAAAGTGACTGTCATCAACGAAGAGGTTGTGCCACAGATGGAGATCCACTCCCAGCGAGGGCAAAATGGAATGTTCCATTATGTGTGGTGGGCTCAAGATGGTGCACCAGCCCATCGTGTCATTGCTGTTCGAAATCGCCTCCACGATCTTTCACGAACGTGCGATTACTTTGAACCAACCCATTGAATGGCCCCCATTGTCACCAAACCTCAACCCCTGGGACTTCGTTTTTGTGAGGTCATTTGAAGAACAGAGATTTCAGCACCCCTCCCCACAACATGCAGGATTTGTGTGAAAGGATTCATCGCCGGGTTGACAGTTTGCGACAAGATCCACGTACCGTGAGACGAGCTGTGGAAGACATGCGGCGTCGACCTCAACAGTTACTGTGCTTGGAGAGGGGAGGTGGACACGTGGAGGGTCTTGGCCCATGAGAGAAAATCATACAAACTTCGGCTGTCAGGTGTTTTACGCATAATTGCAAATGAAATCCATGAAGCAAGCCATGCTTGAATTCAGGAATAAAATCCAGGAATTAAAAAAGTCATGAATCTGTGTCGATTTTGTTAAGGAGGAAAGTGAAGCAACTACATTTGTACACCATAATGTCACCACAGTGGCGCTCGATGATGCGTAACCCTGTCATGCTACCCAAGGTTTCATTGAAAGACCACTCAACCCGCCTCACCCCAACTCACTCAATCCAACTCCTATTGTATCTGTTGACCCGTTACTATCCCTGTTTGTCGAGACTGAAACTGGCGCTTGGGTGTGGTTACCGCGTGTGGTGTGCCACGGACCAAGTGGCAAACTGCAGCCAAAACGGATTGGCCCAATCGGCCTTCTAATGCTGCCCGTTGACTTGGGCTGGCCCGACCCGGTAGTAGACTCCAAAGACGAGACCGCCGCAATATGAACACAGTCCAGCACGTGCAGCACATTTCTATTTTCTTGCCTTCGTTAATATTTACTTTGCTTTTCCTTATCAGTGATTTATTTTCAAATATCACTCAAAGTTATAAACATGCAATCACAAAAGAGGCGGTTAATCTGTTTTCTTTACAATTATTCACTAGTAATAAAATTACTAATTTCAATCGATCAATCATCAAATCCCATTTTATAAAATCATGCACATGTATTTTGGGTACCTGATGTACATGTATACCGTGAATTTGTTGACAATCCTTGATTAAAATCTGTGCCTGACATTATCCGTACACGCTTTTACACCAAAGTATGAATATTTTAGCAAGTAAAGACTTGCCAAGTGGTCTTAGAAAATAGTCTAAAAATTGGGGGTTGTAATTGAAATTTTGAACTAGAAAATCTACGTGTCCTAATTTTTGTCGTCCTCAGTGCGGGTAAGGAGATGATTTTACATTATATTTTACACAGAGATTTTAAAATACTTAATTGGAAATGATGTAATATGTCCATCAGTAAATATTTCCACCATTAAAGAAAAAAGGATCGTTAGTGTGTGCAGGTTCCAGAGGTGGTAACAAGTAAATTTATGCAAGTCCAAGTCAAGGCACAACTCAACTTTTGCAAGTCTAAGCCAAGTCACAAGTCGTTTGGTCCAGTCACAAGTCATTTAATCAGAGGTCAAGTCACAAGTCAATTTGGTCCAAACACAAGCAAGTCACTAGTTCTGGTCAAAGAACTAGTCAAGTTGAGTTATGTGTGATTTTAAGCCACAGCCAAATGACTCAGATGTGGCCTTGGGCAGACAAGATAAGACTGAAGTAAAAGTCGCGATCTGAACGAAGTCTTTTGCTGAATATTCTAAGAATGCAGGGCATAAATTGATAGGCCTAATTAAAATCTTTTATGAGTTTGATTGAGTAGTTTTCTGACTTGCATTGGTAACAAGTCACAATGTGCAAGTCCAAGTCAGGTAACAAATCATTTTTCGCAAGTCCAAGTCAAAAACTGGTAGATACAAGTCACGAGTCACGAAAATAGTTACTGAAGTCTGATTCGAGTCCAAGACAAGTGACGCGAGTCTACAACTCTGGCAGTGTCTCTGCCTGTACACAAGATGTCAACTGTTTATCAATTTATACATGTCCACTTGGAGGTGTTAAAAATAACAGCGCTTATTCAACCTAACCTTTGTCAAATACACGTACAATCAAACCTCAAAGGTATGATCTCCTGTGGTTTTTGTATATTACTTTGTTACAACAGGCACCTTGTATTATCAGGAATGAAAACAATAACACATAATTGGGGCCTCAAATTTTCCATGATACAAATACAATATAGTGTTGCGTTCCCTAAATATAAAGTCGATGGTAGCATGGACTTAATTAGTGTCTACGGGATGACATTTGGGGTCAACAATTTATTAAAGGGTGGACGTGAAACAAGGGGTTTGGGTGACAGTCAAACTATATGGTTGGTTTATTGCTCTCACTTCTCTTCATCAAACTTCAATATGGATTTGAAGGTGTAGCTTAACATAATACAACACACAAAA